TGACTATTTACAACCAAGTTAGATAGGCTAGTTTTCTCTGAGAACAAATTCTGAATATTGTCCTTTGTACTTTTGACTTTCGTGATACCTTTGGTTTGATGTGAAACATTTTATTTCACTTCTGTTACTATCACAGTGAGAAATTACTTATTATTTTTTTCAATATGATTAGTTTAATGTTGAATGTAATTTGTTATAAGGTTAAAATATCATTTCAACTTAGCTAGTTGTTAAGGGGAGACATACCTGAAGTACCATAATGCATTTAAAACCCAAGGCAGAATTATAAATTGATGCATTTTGATATCATGGAAAAATTAACCCAATGTTTCCGGATTTTTATTCCAGCCTCTAAATTGCTGGTGCAAAGATGCTGAAGCTTTTGTAATATGACACGTCAAAAAAGATATCACAGATTTTTCCTTTTTAAGGCACATTTATTGAGGAGCTACCTAACCAGGTTGTCTACAGTGAGTGTAACTATGCCAATGAGATAGGATAACATCGGTATAAGTAAATTAAGTAAAAAATAGTAAATTTAAGTAAAGTAACACTGTAAGTAAACAGCGTTAAGATATTGACCATGTCCAGATTACAGCAAATATTTTCATAGCAAGCTTAAATCTCCCAGGATAAGCCATGGACATCCCCACCTCTGCTATGAAAATACTTTATAGCCTTTGTTGCTACTTTACCCCCTACAGACTAAACTTTATCTGTATTTTCTCCATCTTGTAAAATTCTTTTGGTAAAACTTGTTGTTGAAATATATGTACATATGTTTGTTGTTTTAAGGATTTTTGAAAGTCTTTGGAACTAACCTGTATCCTTGATTGATCTTCCTAAAGAAAACTTTTAATCAGGAGCATTAAATTTTACTTTTGGAAGTCAAAGCGCTAAGGAGGATGATAGGTTTACTCTCCTCCTCCCTTTTCTCTTAGTCAGACAGGCAATGTATTTTCCAAAGACACCAGTGCCTCAGGAATGTTATGTTATTTCATTTCAGTGGGGATCAGAGGTTTATACCTTTATTTATGGTTGTCATTTTTTGCTTCAAACCTCACAAGCTTTCTCTGACTATGGAGTCATTCATATATCCTGAAAGAATTTCAGATAATTTATTGTTGCTGGACAGAATTTTCTTCACAGTGGTGTGAAGAATTACATGCTCTACTCCTCTTTTACTGCTTATAGGCAAAATCCTGCCCTCATTTACACCACTGCAATATTAAATAGCCTCCTTTGAGAGCATTAACGTATGCTGCTTATTCGATAGAGAAGAAAAAGTTATTCTGCAGCAATCTAAAAATTCTTCTAAGATTATTACTTTGTTAATCTATTAGGACAGAACAATCAGTGGTTTAACAAAAGGAATTAAAATGTTTACTGATTGAGTACTAAGAGAAGAAATTGTTCTCATTCAATTTAGCATTTCTCTAGATCAGACGAAATAAAATTAGAGATTCCAAACACTTCTTTAGTTTGGGTTAGCTATGCCAGCATCTTCAGCTGCTTCAGTGATTTTTTACCCTAAGGCTTTGAGGAAAGCCCTTAGGGAAAAAAAAAATAAAAATAAAAAAAAAATAAAAAAATAAAAAAAAAAAATCACTCCTCTCTAGATAGTCTGGAAATTATCACAACTTCAACACTTTATCTCCCAAAGAGATGAATCAAACTGAGAGCTTTCAGGCAAGTGTGAGTCTCCCCTTTCCCAACTTTTAGGGCAGGAGCAAATGGAAATTATTCTGCCTCCATGACTCCAGATACATTCTAGTCTAGGGACCTCAAGAGCAGGAGCTTTTTGCAGGTCTGATCAAATAAACAGGTAGAGGTGCTCATGGACAGCATAAAGTCTTCAAGTCAAAGAGCCCAGAAGTGCTCCCAGGGCCTCTCTTGTAGACAAAAATTAAGTCACGCCCTGATGGGATGGCAAAAAGTCATTGTGACTTAATAAAGAAAGAAAATGAAGTTTGTATGGAAATAGAGAGTAAAGAAAGTATCCTTAAAAGCAGAAGGGATTTGAGAGCGGTGTGTAGTTAAAAATGGAAATGGAGTGGAGGTGAAATGATACAAGGAGTATCTGATTTATGCTGTGAACTTAAGTTACAGTTCTAGAATAGATGACATTTTAATACAAAAATTGGGTTTTAGACCAAAAGACAGTGTTCTCTCACAGCCAGAGCACATGAATCAATTCCTTGTCTCATTCATCATCCTGCAATACTGCAGTTGCAATGACAGCAATAGTTCATGCTGAAAAATAGCATCACAGGAGAATCAACTTTATATTTTACATAAAATATGATTTAACAGGTGGAAAGAGTAAGAAAATTACTGATCTCTATGCAAGATTCATTGTAAAATATAACTTTGATAGCCAGAAAAATTCTCATTTCAGCTCCCAAGTAAAAGTCACTTTCACAGCAAGTTACTTAAATTATCTGGCTCAGCTGGGATAAGTAGTTATAAGCCATATTGGCAGGTGGGGATCTTTTATCCTCTGGGTCACAGATGTGATTAATCCTTAGGCAAAGATCTTTTGCACAATCCTTATGATATTTAAAGCATTAAGTATACCACATTTACTAATAATAACATTTAAATGTTTTAGTTGGAAGAAGAGTATACACTTATTTCTATAGATTAGAAATTATCTCTAAATACAGCTAGAAAATGCAGGATATTAATGCACAAGATTCAGATTTAGGAACAAGCAGCGACTACTTCATGATCTAAGAAGCATAGCCTTTGGAAATGAACAGCTTTGGGAAACAAGCTGCCAAGTTTTATGTTTTAACAAAATTTCAAGGCAATCTACTTGGTAAATATGATTTATAAATACTAAATACTTCATAAAAGTGCATGTTGAAATCATAAAACTTTCTATATGAATTGTCTTTCAAAATACTTTCACTGATCTGGAAGGTTTGTAGGCTTTCAATACTTACAATAGAAAAAAAAAAAACATTTTCAGACCTATTTGGTTAGCTCTTCAAATTTGATGGACCAAAGAATGGTTCTTAATGCAGGATGAATGAGAAGTAAAGCATCTGGGTAACATTCTTTCTTAGCGCCAGCCTCTACTCCAACTTAATCCTTTAAATACCATAGCTCACTGTCTTAAGGTTTAAAAATATTCACCACAGTTTTATTCTGTCCTAGAAGCTTAATGCAAGAGGGTGGCTTAATGCAGAGAGCTGTATTCTTTGTTGGTTTTTTTTAATTATTATTTTTTTTAATTGTATGAAATTGAACTTTTTTTTTCCCCTGAAAAACAATTGAAAAGAGAATATAAGGAATTATTTCCTCCTTTTCTTAATTGTTAAAATTAAATACATTTTATCTAGAACTGAAATCAGTTTGCTTAAAAACTAAGTCATGTCATTCTTAAAAAAGCTAGTCTTCTGATTCAGCTGGGAGGAGAGGTTGTTCAGATGGTCTGAGAAATACCTGTCTTTGGAGATATTCAAAACTCAATTGGATGAGGGCTGGAATGACTTAATTAACTGGGATGTTAACCCATATTGGAGTATGGGATGGGCTAGATGTCTTGTAGGCCGAGTTTGTTTGCTATTGTATGGCTACAAGAAGGAATAGAAATTTGCGAGGAAAAAAACATATAGGCAAGACAGTACTGACAACCTCAATTTACAGAAAACTATATGACAGTGGCATATACCTAGTATTTTATGAATTTGATATGTGAATGAGATATCTCCGTATAGATCATTGTGATCTTTAGATGTGGAATTACAGTAGATGCAAAACTGGACTCAATGGTAAGAAAAGCTATTATCAGTATAAAAAGAAACTGAAGACTATGTTAAATACACTGTGGATCTGTATAATAGTGGTTAATGCAGAAAGCAAACAGGGACCATTTATGTCTGTCTGAAAAAATCTATGCGAACCTATGAAGTCCACCATATGATCAGAAAAGTGGTATCAAATGTTAAGAAGAATTTAAATCTGCTGGAAGAAGTACCTCTCATCACACAAAATGGCACATGTGTTTTGGGGCTGTTTCAAACTTTGGTAAGAACCTGTGTAGGATATCATGGTTTTGTCAGTCTGACATTCCTCTTGCTCGCATATGCACTGTTTTTCACTGTTTTGGCTGAATTTACCAAATCTGCCTTAAATAACATAAATATATAACACTATGCATATGAGTATGTACCTGTATGTAAATATATAAAGAAAAATATATTAAATTCCTAAGTTTCTCAAGAGAAGAGACTTGGAATACTACTTATCAGGTTGATAGCTTCTAATACACTTAGTTTGGAGAGAAGTTTGAATGGCTGTTGTGAATTATGAATTTAATTACATATATAAAGAGAAGAGCAGTCAGAAAGATAACAAAGTTGGATGTTACCCTCTTTAACCATGTCCTTCCTTCTGCCATAGAAATTTATGAAGTAAATCCTTTGCCTCAAACTTAAAGCTGTTTTTTCCTAACACTGTAGTCTCCATTTACTGAAAGATGAGGGATGGGAATTTGCAGAATTGTTAAGCTTCAGAATTACAGTGTAAAGTGAGGAGATGATGTAAATTTTTTAATCCATGCTCTTTTATACTTGGAAAAATTAGGCCATATGTGTCTCAAATTGTTCTTTTTATGCTAGCAAATTTGTTTGACCTTTAATCTTTCCATACTTGCCCTTCTGATCTGAAACATATGGAAAATAGCATTTTTTTAGCTCAAAGAATTTTGAAGGAAATTATTATTTGAGAAGCATTCAAAAATGACAGAAATAAGTATCATACGTGAGCCTCTGGAAAAAGCTACATATTTTTTGTAACAAGAATAATGAAGAAGAAAAGGAGTTATACAAGTGGAGCTTAAAATTAATGAGCACTATTCTGTTACATGGAAGAATAATAGCAATTCATGTAATTAGAGACTAAAAATATACATGCAAAAGGGGAAACAAAGACGTACAGATGCAATTATGTTTTTCAGCTGTTTGCACGGTATTTTTTAAAACAACACTTACATGGACACATGCAGAAGAGAAAATATCATCATCCCAAGATTAAAGTCCTGCACAGCACACAAGGAATGGAAGAAAATTTCAGTGTAGCAGATTTGTGAATTGAATAGACTTCTTCAGTAAGTTGAGAACAGTCCTTGTAATATATGTCCTCTGCAAGATCTGAAAAGTAAAACAAAAAGTTGCTGAATTGAAACTATAAAAAGAAAGTAGAGTGACACAAAATATGATGTCATCAATGCTCAGTTTTGAATGGTAGAATCACAGTAAATTATTTTACTTCCTTTGAATAACAATTACAATTTAATATTTAAACCATGCAGCAATGGGAGGCACAATCAATTGTTTTTGAATAAAACTTGTAAAGTAATTAAAATGCTAATACTTCATTCCTATTCCTAGGATTTCCATGAGAAAAAAAATGACAAAAGTGGATTCTACTGACCATGGAAGAAGAGTTAATGCTCCAAAAATACACCTTTCTGATTCAGTTTTTATTGAGCACTGGAACAGTCTCCCCAGAGGTATGGTCATGGTACCAAGTCTGTTGAAACTCAAGGAGCACTTGGAAAAAAATAGACAGTTTCATTCTTATGTAGTTGTGTGAAGCCAAGAGTTGGACATGATGATCCTTGTCTCTTCAAACTCTAGATATTCTACAGTACTTAAGACATATATTCAATTTTTATTTTTATTTTTTTAACTTGCTTATGATTTAATAATGATATCTCTCAGGGCAAGAGAGAGACATCTAGATAAACATATAAGTGCATTTTTCTCTTACTAGTTTAGTTGTCAGTAATGAATATAAAACGCCATTAAACTTCTTGGATTGATTTGACCTTGAAAATCTTTTAAAACCTAAATGTTTCTATGTATTTATACTATGTCTTTATAATTCTAATTTTGTTCTCATCTTCATTCAATTCAGAATGGCTTAAATGAATTTGATGTGTGACAATTGCAGAGATATGTACCATCATCAAAAACTCTACCAATGAATTTATGGAAAAGCAAATAAGAACACAAAAAGAAATTAATGCTTTTCATAACTTTTCTATTTATACCTTTATTTTACCTGAATATTTAACAACAACAGAAAATAACCACATGATTTTCTGACTCTTCACACTGTTTTGGAAGTGTGCATCCATTGATAGAACAGAATTCATAACTTACCATCATCTAGAATTGATTACATAATGTCAAACAGTTAACTACACAATATAAAAAAGTCAGTAAGAGCACTTACTAACAATGACAATATGTGTTCTTTGTCACTGAATGCACAAAGTCAATATAGAATAAAGATACAGGAAATTTTGAACTTCTGTTGGTGAAGAAGGATCCGAGTGCCATCTTGAAAGGAATTTTGAGACTGATGAGGAAAAGAATCTGCAGTTCTCCAGATGTCAGAGCACGTGCTTGGAAGATTTTGCTGATTACTGAAAATCCAGGTAGCCCCTTTCTGCACCTTTAAACACTAATTTACACAAGATTAACATTTAATACAAAGCTTCTTAGCATTGTTGGTATAGTTTTTCTGCTAATTTTACATGATGTTTGGTAAAATTAGACATCAAACTCATAATAGTGTACAGCATCTTGTGGATAATCCTCAGCTTGTATAACTGATTACTGTGTCTAATACATGAGAATGGAGTGTAGCAGTCTTATGACAAAAACTAGTGTCCTAGTCATAGATCTATTTCTAAATTCCTAGGCTTTTTATACTTTTAGAAAGTAAAAGAGTGCTACAGTATGCTTTTTCTGGGATTTTTTTTAATTCCTTGTAAAAAGTTTCCAGGGTATTTCATTTCAAATATCACAGTTTAAAGAGAATTAAATGGTACTTTAAGTCAGAGCAACAACAACAGCAAAGATCTGTTATTATGAATACTGTCCTGTGAAGCCACTGAGTAGCTCAATGGTGCAAGAATACAGTTTTCTTAAAAATGAAATAAAATAAGAACAGTATAAGTAAGTAAGTGACGTGAAAAGACAGGCATTGTTCTTCCATTTTTTTATTCTATGAAATATGATTTTTGACAGCTTATAAAGTTGCTTCATTAAATAAAAATAAAAAATGGAAAAAAAAAAAAAAAAAAAGCTCACCCCAACATAAATTCATTTATTTTAATAGAGAAAGATTTATCCAGTCAAAAATGTGCCTCCACCAGCTCCCACAGAATCTTTTGATTACAGTCTACGGCTTTACCATAAACGTATGCCATATAATACTTTGCATGAGAATGCCAGATTTCATACTCTGACATTTATTTAAAAAGCCACAAGTGTTTGGACTCAAAAATGCATAATGGTTTGAGGATTCAGTTCTGAGAGAAAGATGAAAGGCAAGAGGAAGTCCAACTGGTCAATCCTGTAACAGAAACGTACTCAAACTGAAGAATATAACAAGGTGCGAAACAAGGGCCCCATTTGAACTACCCAGCAATTCCAAAGAATACAGATCTACTCATCATAGTAACTCTCTGTTTCTACTTGGCAACTGCCATTAAAACATCAGCTAATAGAGTGAAAGTATAGCTTTTTTAAATAACTTAAATGTCTGGTCACATAATGTATGAATCAAGCATTTAATAAGAAGGCTCAGATTCTTAAGTACTGAAATTTCATAACTGCTGAACTTCTCTATCTAACGGAAGTACTGAATGTTGATCACTTGAATATTACCGAAGATTTTGATTTAGATCCAAACTAATATACTTTTGAAAGTGGAACATTTAGATAGTCACATACCTGAAAGTAGATTTAGACTATCACACAGACATCTTGAACGCATTTTCATTTTATAAAGGAGGCAATTCATCAAACTGCAGAACAATATATCTTCTGTGATGAAAGTGCTACTGGAAATCTTCCAAGTGAGAAAGTAAATATTTTTTATCAAAGAGTAACATTTTCAAAATGACTTCCAAGCTTGAATGAAGTAAATCACTTCAGTGACGTTTAGGCATCTGAGTGTTTTGTAGCTCTCGAAATTTTGTTTCAGGCTCAGATGAAATTTATAAACACCACTACGAGTACTGTTTATGTAGATTTAAAAACTCAAGATTCAAACATCTAGGTTTGAGCTAGTCACCTCAGTTTCCCTTAAAGTCAGAGGAGAGATCAAACTACAGTGTTAGAATCATAGAATAGAACAGAGTCATAGAATCATTTTAGTTGGAAAAGACTTTCAAGTCCATCAAGTCCAATAACCAGCCCCTTAGTGTCACACCATACATCTCTTATGTACTTCCAGGGATGAAGACTCAATTGCTTCCCTTGATGTTCCAGTCCAATGCTAGGCTACCTTCACCATGAAGAAATTCTTCCTAATATCCAATCTAAGCCTATCCTAGTGCAACAGCAAACTTTTAGCTTGTGTCTTATCACTTGTCACCTGATAATTTAGAGTGGGAAAAGGAACTGAACAATACTAAATACACTGGTGTCTGAGGTATTTGTTTCTGTGTTTCAGTTTGACTTCTGTATTTGATTAGGACCTTTTGAAGACATTTGAAAAAATATTTTAAAAATCTCAGATGACATGTGATGAATGAATGAAGAACATTGTTATATCAAGTGTGATTTCAAGCATCAATACTACATCTAATTGCTGGGTAATTTATTTACTAAGGCAGCTGAATGATCCTGCATCTTTCAATTCAACTCTGATCTGGAGTTCTGTGCCCAGGCCTGGAGCTCCCAGCACAGGAAGGATGTGGAGCTCTTAGAGCAGGTCCGAAAGAGGGCCCTAAGATGATCAGAGGGCTGTGGCACCTGTCCTATGAGGAAAGGTTGAGGAAGCTGGGCTTGTTTAGCTTGGAGAAGAGAAGGGTCCATGGAGACCTCATGGAGCCTTCCAATATTTGAAAGGAGTGTTTAAGCAGGAGGGAGAATGACTCTTTACAAGGGTGGATAGTGATAAGACAAGGGGGAATGGTTTCAAAGTAAGATGGGAGATTTAGGTTAGATATTAGGAGTAAGTTTTTTCATTTAGAGGGCAGGTTGCCCAAGGAGCTTGTGGATGCCCCCATTCCTGGAGGCATTCAGGCTGGATGTGGCTCTGCGCAGCCTAGTCTAGTGATTGGCTACCCTGCATGCAGCAGGGGTATTGAAACTAGATGATCTTTGAGGTCCTTTTCAACTCAGGCCATTCTATGATTCTATGATTCTATGATTCTTATTTGGTAAAAGGCACTGTGTGTCAAAGGAAAAACAAGCAACACTTTGACATGAGGAAACCTGCCTTTCACCATAGCGTTAACTTCCAGCATAACTTTAAAGGCAATAGGGGAAAAAAAAAAAAAAAAAAAAAAAAAAAAAAAAAAAAAAGATGAACCAGTCAAAAAGTGATATTCCCAATAGAAATTTTGTAATAAATGCCATCTCTTTCTATATAAAGAGGGCCATATTCTACTCTTCATTCAAGCCAGGGCATCACAGCAGGAATAGCACATGGAGCTGCAGTAATGTTTTTCTGCACATATGGAACTAACAAATTAGGCCAACTTTTTTGTAAAACATGATGGAATCACTTCTCCTTCAATCTAATAGTCATTTTCCCTAGCAGCAAGCATTAATGACTTCCCTGACTAATGAAAATTAATTGCTAGCCCGCCTTGACAATTACATTGTGATCGATCAAGTTTAAAGGAGCTGCAGGGGTCATTTGCTGTAATTCTAATGCAATCCATTAAATCTGCAGCAGAAGATAACCTTTAGCTTAGTTGCATATTAGGGAATACTAATGGCAACTTGAGATGTCACTGTTTATACAAGAGGAGATACATCATAGTGTCTATTTCTCTTCACACTATAGAGGTGTTTCTGTTTCTTAGCTAATATGCAAATTCCCCTTGACATCAGAGTGCAGTCTCTGTAATCTTATCAAAGTACTATGAAGACAGAGTTATACAGATCCAATGAGCGTGCTGAGAGTGCTCATCCTGGCTGTTATACAAAACTGAGTTGTAAAATGAGATCAAGTTTTCTAAGTCTAAATGGAATGTACT